AGACTCTCTCTCTCTCTCTCTCTCTCTCTCTCTCTCTCTCTCTCTCTCTCTCTCTCTCTCTCTCTCTCTCTCTCTCTCTCTCTCTGGCGCGCGCGCGCGTGTGCACGTGCGCGTATCTCAGCAGAAGAAGGAGATGTAGAAGAAGAAGAAGCCCGGGGGGAAGAGGAGGGGCGATATCGGCAGAAAGAAGAAGAAGGAATCCTCTCTCTCTCTCTCTCTGTGCATGTATGCCAGGTACTAACCTGCAGAAAGGTGCTGCCTTGATGCAGGTGTGGACGTCCGAAGACGGAGCTGGAGCTATGGGATCGCAGGTAAGTCGTAGGTAAGTCCTCCTGGCCTCGGCCCGTCTCTCTCAGTCTTTCTCTCGCTGCAGTGCAGCGCAGTGCTCCAACTCCTAGCTCGCGCCCAGTGCTGTAGGCTACTCTAACTGCGCCCAGTGCGTCGACTTCTGAAGACTACTCGCTACTACCTCAGAGCTACTGCTGAGAAGCGCCTAGCACTACCTCAGTGAGCTGCCGGAAGACTACCTCCGAACTACTTTCCAGAAGTGAGCTCGACCCAGCTATATATACGCTGGGCCTAGTGTCCTAGGTTGAAAGGAAACAGTCCGGTTTTTGAATTAAAGACTGGTTGGGCGCCAAGAACAGAAGTCTGTTCTGGCGCCAAAACAAAAAAATGCCGAAAAGTAGGGGCCCGTTGAAAATACGAAAAGTCTGTTTTGGCGCCCATTTGCAGGAAACAGTCTGGTGGAAAGAAAGACTGGTTGGGCGCCAAGAACAGAAGTCTGTTCTGGCGCCAACATGAAAAAAAATGGCAAAAAGTAGGGGCTGGTTGAAAAATGGCGAAAATTCTGTTTTGGCGCCCATTTGGAGGAAACAGTCTGGTGGAAAGAAAAGTAGGAAGATGGTGAAAAGTACTAAAAATGAGATAGTGGCGCCATATTGCAGGTCTTGAATGTATTGAGACCAATATCAGGTCCAAATACATTTAGGGTCTGCATGAATGATCTTGTCAGAGGAGGGTCTGATTGAATGATCTTGTCAGAAGACGGTCTGAATTGATTTCCGTCTGGAAGAAATTTACTGACGTCAGGTAATGTTCTATGTTGTCGGGTAATTCGCTGAGGTTGGGAAGCATATTATTATTATTATTTTTTTGAAACAGAAACTGACGCTATAGTAGCTACTAGCTACCTATTTGAGGCCGAATATCGAGGGCATGCCACCCACCCATCTATGAGTCCTTTTAGCGCCATTCTCCACCCGTGCGTGAGCACTGCAGGGAAATCTTGCTCCACTATCGTCTTCACCGGAATGGAACGTCCGGTCATTATGGCTGGCTGTATTTGAGGCAACTTTCAGTCTAGATACAGAGATAATTACCGGGCTTTCTATTCTGGCGAGGAAGATAGGGTTGGGCCTAACCCCAGGTGAGGGATGCAAGGGACGAGGGAAAGTCCCCTACGAAGACCAACCAAGGGGGGGGGCAAGCTGGATATCTCAGCTGATGAAGCTGCAGCGCGCTGCCGGAGGCCGTGGGTATTCAAATGCAAGACATGGCTCGTGTATGCTGATCTTTTTCCTTTTTTTACAAAAAAAGTGTCTATTCTGATTAGCTGCAGATTCCTATCTGAGGGCATACTCACACCAGGACTTTTTCTACTAAGCTGTGGACGTAATTGCGGTCAGATTCATCCACGTTCGGCAGTAAGCCTTTGGGACCAGGTGGATTCAGATGAGCTCAACATTCAGAATGTATTGGGTCCAGAAAGTAGTCCAAATGCATTTAGAGTGTTGTGTAGTGGAGCGAGGCCCATTATCGTTATCCTCATCTCTCTCTCCCATCCTCCTCCTCTCCCCCTCCTTTTTTTATTTTTTATTTTTGTCCCTCCTTTTTTCCCTCTTTGTTTTTTTTTTTTTTAGAAAGGGCGACAGCCTTGAGATGTCATGATTGAGCTGACGGCCCCCAGGTAATTCGAAATTATTTTGATTGCATCTGGATTCGAACTTGGGTCTGTATTTCAACAGTGCATGGGTGTATCAACTGAGCTAGGCCCGTTGGTAATATCTCCGTCCATCTATCGATGCTCTCTTCTTGCAACTTGGCGCTCACTGAGCTTGGTCCATACTTGGTCTTCTTTTGCTGGTATCATTCTGATGATGAATGTGGCCTGGAAATTAATTCAAATTATCATGTCATGTCTAGACGTTAAGAAATAACTTCAAAGAAGGCCTTGCAGTGTTTGTTGAACCTCTTTTTCTTTTTTTTTGGGGGGGGGGGGGGGGCGTTGATTTCATCTTTCTGTGCAGAGGATATCTTCAGACATCCTGCAGATTTACTGACATCGTGGGGTTGCATTCCCCGCCCCCCCTCCCCCCCCCCACCCCCCTCCTTCCTGCACCTCGAACCCCCTCCGCCGGACAATATGCCGCCTGCATACTGGGTTAAAACTTAGCCCCTGGACACTAGTGGTTAATGGGTGGTGTCATTTTCGGCAAAATTTTCACCGATTTTTGGCCTTTTTCTTGTTTTTATTTTTCTGTGTGATACGTATGTGCGAGGCCACTGCCTCTAAGAGCCTCATAAGGCCCCAGTTTTGCAGCCCGTCGGCCGCCCTAAGTGAAGGCAGGCTCGACGAGGCCCTCAGGGCCCTTTTCTGGCCACCACGCAACTCAGGGAAATTCAGGCAGTTGCACAGCGCCAGTTGGTTGAGTGAACCCAGGCCCTGGGCCACCTGTGTGAATGGATGTGAAGCAGGCCCTGGGCTGATTACGGGTACTGGGCCAAACACTGGCCAAAGGCAGTTGGGCACAGACAACCACTTCAGGCCCAAGGCCTGCTTTCGACGTGCTGGGCCTCAGGCTACCGGGTCCTACTGGAAGCTTCCTGGGACTGGACGCAGGCAGGCCACTTCGATACAGGGAAGGGCCTGCCTCCTCATTTGGCATTCGGGTGCTGGCTGCATGCTGCACAAGCGCTGCTGCTGCGCTATTTGCTGGCTGGCGCCTACGCTCTCACGGGCGAGCAGGGAAGGAGCGGGCAGCCATAGCCGAGCTGCACCGCTGTGAGCTGGGTGTGGCGCAGGGTGGTCCTTGGGGTGTTAGTGGCATCTGTGAGTTGGGGAACGAGGTTGTGAGTGTAGCGCGAGATATACCTGGTGCTGGAAGCGTGCGACATTGGTCGCCATATGCTCGTACTTCGGGAATGCTGTTGATGTCATCTTTCGGCTTCATAGTATAGGCTAGATAGGATCTGCCACATGTAGTCTGGGCGCCGAGCGCCAGATAGGATATCAACTCTGGTTCTTCGTTGATGATGATGGGACTATTTCAGCATTGTCAACTATGAACTCTTGGCGTGTTCTTATTTGGTGATTCTCGTGATGCAATGCTGCTGTTGGTTCGAGGTCAAGACTATCTGGACTCATATGTATGATGCTGTTTGATTGCTGAAGTTCGCTATTGCTCATCTTCCTTGGCATATGTGCTTTAGGGTATATAATATATATCTGCATCCAGTTTCTCGACGTATTTGGACCAGTTATGGAAAAGTTTGCAAAACCACTGAATTCGGGGGAAAATTCGGCGAACTCCGAAAGCTACACTCTTTTTTAGCGTTTTTTTTTTGCCTGTTTTTTTTTTTTAATATTTGTATTATGAGCCAATTTTTTGTTATTTTTATCGCATTGTTTGTTCGCCAAATTTTCCACCACGTTGCTTGTGGTGCAATCAGACTTGACATTCAGCGTGCGTGCAAACAGATGACGATCACACCTGGCGCAACAACGCCCACACAAAGCTCAGAGATAAGAACGTAGCCAGGAAAACAGCACAGTTTCAAACTTGTCTTGTACGACTATGGCGCAGAGCTCCAACGCAAAGATTCCCAACGGATCAACTGTATCCCCCAGCGCTTGTTTGCACACACACACTCACTCTAGGATCACCCTGGATGTCCCGCATACACACGCACAACACACTGACACACTCCCTATCACTAACCTACGGCAGCTATGGCGGTCTTCTTCGTCCTCCGACTGACTAACTCGCGGCTATGGCGGCGTCTTCCTCCCCTTAGCCCACTTCTCCTTCGGGCACCTGCAGACCTTCGTACACAAGGCGCACAGACAGCGCTTCTGCACGGCTCACAGGCAGAATGAATGAATGCCTTGACGCTGCCTCTTTATTTATACTTCGGATCGTCGTTGGTCTGCCCTTGGACCCTGGGCCGGGGCTGCACTCAGTCCCACATGGCACTTGCTGACTGGACAAAGTGCGACCGGGACTGGGTACCGCTGACTGGACTAAGTAGGACTTAGGACTGCCCTTTGCTGCCTGTGCTAGGACTGCCCTTCGCTCACTCACCCACGGACTGACTTCTAGGACTCACGAAAGGCCACTTCCGGCAGTTCTGGAAGGTCTTACGCTTGACCTTTCGGGACTGTAGCGGCTACGACGTATACTACCACTAAGACCTCTAAAACTCAGACCTACGGTTCAAGACCCGATGACCGCACTATATACAACAGCTGAACATACGACTTTCAATACAGGGGTCGCGGGTTCAAACAGACAGGGGTCAACGGGTACTGTACATGGGTGAAGGGGAGGTCTAGGGATCGAGCCCTGGGTACTGCATCTGCTACCGTAATAGGTGAAAACAATTTCAGTGGTGATGTGGCGAAAAAACCCGAATTTTGGGTCTTCCATTAACCGCTACTCCCCCTGGACAGACCCCCTGATGTCAACCCCAACTATTGGGTTTAAGCTTAACCCCTGGATGCTATCAGGGGGTTTAAAACTTAAAACTGGAAGCATTCTCATGGGGTGGTCCCGTCCTTCGGGAGATCTTCTAAATTTGGCCCTGAGCAAGGAGGGCACACACACGCAACATAAAAGAAAAAGAAAAAGGGGAAAAAGAAAACGTTAGCAGCCCTGCTTTTTATTGACTTCAACTGGTGGTTTGATCTGCATGTGGTCTCTAATGAATGCTACGTGCAGGATTCTGTTTGGCTCATATTTGCAGACGTAGGGAGTGTCTCAATCACAGCTGGATCCAATCACGACTGCTCAGGTACATGAACATATGGTCTTTGATGTTTTTTTTTTTTTTTTTTAATAATGCACAGGGGCCATGCTTATTTTCTCTACACCGTTCCAATTTTAACGGATGTCCCAAAAGACACATATGGTCATTAGGGGTCTATTAAACCACCCCCACTCTTTGACAAGCGCGCCCCGCCCACCCTTTTTCAAGCTGGTCTAAAGGCTTCTGCTGCATTGCATCGCCAACTATCCAATCATCATCTTTGCCCGTGGAATCGAAACCGGACTGATGCTCCCAGGATAGGCGGAGCGGGACCTGACCGCACCTTTTTTTTCAACAACAACAATAACAACAACAACTGGCCCAAACTGGTTCACACTATGTTTCATGTACTCCAGGGGCGTACTCATATACAGGCTTCTCGCTACTGACCTCTGGATGGGATTGCGGTCAGATACATCCAGGATCGGCTGTAATTGTGGTCGGATACATACAGGAAAATCCTATTCTGTCTGCTCTTGGTTGACATGCGAAAAAGCATGCAGTTCTCGATCACACGTAAAGCCGTCAAAGACTGGATAATGGACCTCGCTCCTCTACTCTCCACATGCACAAATGACAAAAAAATATGGCGGTGTATGTTCCCATGTTCTAGTGGAAGATTCATTCTCGTTTTACACATTTGGGAAGCAGTGGAGAGAGGCCAAAATGTCATAAAATAGCAATAGGCAGTATGAAATTACTACGGTAGGGATATTGCTAACACATGTAAACCTGAGTCATGTATGTGAACAAAGTTCAACAAACTTTTTCTTCCTTTCTTTCTTTTTTCTTTTTTTTTTTTGCCCACCTTCCTGGTAAAGCTGGCCCAACAGCCCGGTCCCTTTTTTTTTTATCTACTACAAATCAAATCGGATCTAGAAAGATAAAAAATAAAAAAAATCGGATCTTGGTAGCTTCTCTGGGTTCCTTTTCCGATGGTCTTCTCTCTCAGATCAGTTTATATTCCCCACACTATTATAAAAGTTAATAAAACATTATAATTTACCGCGTAATTCCGGCGCTAATGCAACAAATCGACTATCCGGGCCATACCCAGTCCTACCAGTTCACGGCCCAGATCAATGCATCGATCTAGCAAATCTTGGGTCCAGGCTGTTGGGTCCAAACCGATCAATGGCCTGGATTGACACATGATCTTATATAATCTTAACACTGCGCGTCAATCTGGGCCATCGACCCGGTGTTCATGGGAGGGCGGGCAACTGCAGCTCCTGCCTGCCTCGCAGAATCATACGCCTGCGTGCGTCATACATCGTCGGTGTCACTGCAGTGCCCTGACATGTGCTTTTTCCTGAGGTGCGCATCGCTGCACTTACTCGTGAATTGGCCCGTCGGAAAACGCATCAAGAGCTGTCAGGAGTTACTCTTGCAAACGTCAAGAGTTGTCGTCGCTGCACTACTCTTGCCTTGTCGCTCGTGAAATTACATTTCATGAGCTGTCAGGGCGCCGTTGGACAAAGTCATCTAGAGCACTCTTGCTCTCCTGCCTGCAACCTTGGTTTTTGCAAGGGTGGTCCGACAGTTTCTTGAAAGGGCACGGGATTTCTAGAGCAAGCCTGGGTCTGGGCGGACAAACCACGCTGCACTGCACTGTACGACAACTGCCACCGTCTCAAGAGTGCTTCATGAGCAGGACTATCTAGAGTAAGTGCAGCGGCGGCCGAACTGTAGGCCATTTTGGGACTCTGACAACTCATGCCGCACTCTTGATTTTTTTCACGAGTCATGAGTAGTGCAGCGAGGCCCATTGTTGGTGTCACTGCAATGCCCCGACATGTCAGACCACTCATCGTCGGTGTCACTGCAGTGCCCCGACATGTCAGACCAGTCATGCGATCGGATGGAGAGACCACAGGCTGAGTCAACATTACTCGCACAGTATTGCAAACAGGCCTGGGTCCCTCTCGGGGCATATACTCGCTCACACTAGGACATTTTCGGCTCAGTAGTGTGACTACGCCCTCAGTCTGGCATGTTGACAAGAGCAAGATGTCGACAGCTGCAAGGAGGTGGAGCTCTGCCCCCAGGGCGGACAGTAATTGCAGTCAGATACATAAGCGAACCTC